AAAATAAAAAAAAATAAAAACAAGAAATTGAAAAAAAACTAATATTAAAAATCTATAATTCTGGGCTACTACTACTATTGCTTCTTGAATTAACTCCATTAACCTCCTGAATCTCATTATTTACTAAAGATTCAGTCTCTTGTTCCAAATTTGTTTGTGCTAATTTACATTTCTTTAATGTTAATGTTCTATTTATACTTCTAAATTTTTTATTAACTACTTCATTGATAGTTAAAAAAAATAATAAAATTGAATCTGTCATTTGATATTTACTAAGCTCTTTGAAATCAATTTGAATCCATTCATCATTTTTATCAGGTTCTGTTCTAACAGGAATTTGATCCCCAATTAATGAATAATATATAGCACACCTAAACAAACATTCTTGTTCATCTGAAAAAACTCTAAACTCTTGATGCATAGTAATAAAAACTAAATCTTTAATTTTTAATTCAGTCTCTTCCACAGCTTCACGTTTTGCACATTCTTCAAAATTTTCACCAGGTTTATTTCTTCCAGTTGGTACTTGCCAATATCCAAAATAATCTTTTGTTGGATTATTTCTTTTACTGATCCAAGTTTTCTTTTCATCAGTTAATGGTATAACTATGGAAAAATCACGTCTTTCAATTTCATACTTATTAATTATTTCTTTATAATTTTTTTTAAGATTTGCTTGCACTTTAAGTTGTGTATTAATAGATTCTCTCGTCTCATCTACCGAAATACCAAGCCCTTGAATTATATTCAAAATAGCTAATGCATTATGTAATTTCTCCTCTATAGTACAAGCATAACTATAATTGGAGACAGCGAAATTATATTCGACTTCAGCTTCAGACATTTTAAAGAAAATTACATAAATAAAAATCTACTCAGTATAATATATACAGAGTAGAGAAAGAATAATAAAAAAATAAAATAAATAACAAAAAAATAACAAGAATGAAAAGAATAATATAAAATATTGACTAAATAACTGAACAATCTGAATTACTGTTACTGCTATCATTCATTGATAATTCATTATCTGACCAAAAAATTTCATTATTATTTATATAACCAACTTGTAATGGAGTATAAGAATATTTTTGAATTACAGAATCAAATATTCCTCTATTTTGTGAAGAAGCTACTTGTTCTTTCTCAATATATTCATCATTTATTATCATAATAGAAGATTGACTTGATTTTTCTTCATTTTCTATTTCTTCAAAATCTTTATCTTTATATAATTTATTATTACAAGAAATACAATAATTACTTGAAAATAACGAATTACATTTTTCACAAAATTGCATTTGTCGTTGAGATTGCTCACTTAAACGTAATAATATTTCCTCCTTCTCACAAAAAGTACAAAAATCATTTGGTTTTGGTGAATGACAATTTTCACAATATTTGTGAAGCGGTGATTTCTTTCCTTCGATACTTACATTATAATAATTTTGCTCCATATTTACTTGTAACAATTCATCATTAATATCATCTAATATAATCAAAGATAAAGAAGTGCTCTCTGTTCGTTTTGAATCATAATAATATTTACGATATATATATTTCTTTTTAAAATTATATATTGGTTTATTTTTTTGTCGTCTTATTCGCAAGCTACGTCGTATAAGAATTGATGGATCTTCTTTATATAATTCTGTGTGACAATTAAGCTTTTTAAATTGTTTTAGATTATTTTGAAGTTTCATCTTGAATTACATAAATAAAATTCTATTTGATTAAAAGACTAAATAGTTAAAATAAAATAAATAAAAAAAAAAACAATAAACAATAAAAAAAAATAAAAAAATAATAAATAATAATAAAAAAATCATTCTTCTTTAGTTTTCTTTAAAATTTTGTCTAGCCTTATCCCTTAGATTGTAGTAAAATGCAGGCAAATTTGCCTGCATTTTTGCACTTTTTTAGCTCTGATTTACTTTTTTAAGATGTCAAAATATTTAAATAAAACTTTGTACAATTA